CGAGTGTGCCCCTAGGGCAGATCCGCCTCAAAAGCCCCGCTGGCTATGCAAATTTTATGGTGTTGTTTGGCACAGGGGGAACATGTCGGGAATCGGATTTGGGAGCTAGAGATAGCTAGAGATTAGCCCTAGTAGAGAAATAGTAAGGGAGATATAGAGAACACAGACAGCTCAAGTACCCGAAGCGAACCTCGATCTAGGCGTGGGGGTACAGGTCGAAGGATAGCCTTCCAGCCCCACAATCCGAGGGATTGACACCAAAAAAGGTGCGGGAAGTTTCAGGGACTTGGGGCGAGAACGGGTTCCGATCCGTGGCACATACCGGATGGATGGGCCGGAGGATGAGAAGGAGGGGAGAAGGACATATTGAGTCATCTTCTGTACTTTTTGGGGCATGAGGTGGGATTTCGGGAAGCTAGTTTTTGATACGGAAAGCTAGCAAAACAACTTTTGAAGGGGTCGCAGGGGTTTAAACTTTATTTGCATGCGTAACATCTCTAGTTTAAAGGAACTAGGAAATGCCAAATTCGAACCACTTAACCGACTAGGTCTTGACAGCTGTTTAGCCATGGTGGTACGGTAACTCCGGAAAATTTTGCCCATTAAAAATCCAGGCAACCAAACTAAAATCGACTTAAAAAGGCGCTTTATGTCTGGAAAATCTGGGTTAAAATCTGGTCATAAGGGCCGAATAAGCGCGTAATCGACTCCTACCATGAACTAGGTCTCGACAAGCGCCAATGAAACTCGACAAATGCAACGCGCCGAAACGCACTGAATTCAGTTTTTAGCCATTGCGTGCAGAATTCGGCAAAGCTCCAGAAGCGTTTTCACCCGGCATAGTGCTTCGAATAGCCATCTACATCCAAATGATAGCAAGGGTCGGTTTTTGAGCTTCCTCATCACTTTAAGGGTTAGGCAAGTCGTAAAAAAATCTAATAGGGGTATGGACCGAAATGCAATCAAATTACACCTAAGTACGTCGCTGAAAAAGTTGTGTATAATTGGCGTAAGATAAGCGGGCGGGCAGCTTCTGGACTTTCTACCCAATGGATTGGACCTGGCCGCAGCCGTGAAGTGGTAAGTGGTGACTGCCTGGTAAGTGGGTTGCTATTCGGATGCGAGTACCTAACGAGATGCGGAAATAACTTTGGAGAATCGGTGATAATAAAGGTACCTTTCCAGTCTTATGAAGATGGATATCCGGAAAAGCTATTCAAAGTTTAACGACACATTCTCAGCAAAAAAATTGCAAAACCCATGAAAATCGCGAAAAGTGAAGCACCCATGCTTTCCCACGCGAAACCACAACAAGTTCCCGAATCCGGAAAAGCGGGCAAGAAAAGCACAGGTGACCGGCGGCAGGCAGGCGTAAAATGGTACTTGGGGTGGACAGAGGGAGGGGCAGTGGTCGAATGGGCTGTTGAATAGGGAGAAAACCCCGATAGGGAAGGGGGATGTCTCGAAACACAGCGATTTCGGTTACGACCTAGGGTATGTTTTGTGAGGGTGAGGGGGCCCTAAAAAACGGTTAGATGGTTGCAGGATGGAACCGGAATTTGGTGGCAATTCTGGGTTTCAGTTTTTTTGAAAGCTGGCGATTTCTTCGGACTGTTTTCCCCTACTTTAATCAGGATTATCAAAAATAGAAGGATTAAATGGCTAGTGATACAAAATAGATACTATAACGCTCACACGAAAAAAAGATTATAAGGCAAAGATACGAGGCATTAAAGGGCTAGAGCTAGCAGTTGTCGTTTAGTAATTTTTCAGGGTAATGAAAAATATTACGGTTCTTTAAACCTAAAGCAGCTTGGTAAGGCAGCTGAGCTTTTCGGATCTAATTAAAAAATTTCCTTCAATAAACACATCTCGACTTGCATGGATAATCGTCCTAAGGGCTAGCAGCGATCTTGGCAAAAGCTGATGGTGTATTTTTTAAAGAATAAGCGCCGTCAATAACGCACAAAAAACGGCACTCGGTCGAATAAACATCTCATAAAAACATCCAGAAATCGAGAATCGCCCCCGAGGCACGCAGTAGAAGAAAAGAAAAGGGGCAGCATCTATGGCGTAGTGAGTGGGAACCGGAATCTGAGAGCCCCAGGGGGGCAAGAGCCCCCTTCTGTGGTCGACCCCGTAACTGTCTAAGTATCAGCCATCCAGACCTCCTGCTCCTTTTCTGGAAAAGAACGGGCGGATTAGCCGGGCATAGATCCCCCAATTGCCTACCACCACCACCACCACCAACATCCAGCCCGCAGGGGGCAAGATGCTCTGGGATTAGGAAGTTCAGCAGGAGGAGAGCGGTCAGTCAACGGAACGTAGGAGTAAGGGTTTGAATCACTGCTTAATAAATGCGCTACCGTATCGACGAAACCTGAAATGTCAAAGGAATCGCTTATTTCTTAATCGCTAGTTTTACAAAAAAAAAGCTAAAAGTCAATATAAAAAATTATGTATTTGTGCCTGTGGACACTTTTGCATAAAAATCCGCGTTCCAGCGATTACCCGACGTGAAAAGGGTTCTATGGCCCAGAAGTAGGGTAGTTAGGGGTGTTCGAAGCGTAGATTACTGGACGCTGAACAGTTTTTTACTAAACTAACGTTTTTACCTTATTTTGACGGATTTTGCATTGTACTATGGCCGAGCTTTGCGCTTCACTAGCGTGACATGAGCCTGCTAGGGGCAGAGAGTATGTACTGAAGGTTCTAGCAGCGTCAATAGAATTTCGCCGAATTAGTTTTGCCAACGACTTCACTACCATAAATCAGCGACAACCTGCCAATAAAAAACCAGGCAGGCTTTGTTTTAGTTAACACGTTATTTTGCCCCATGCAGAGTATCAGAATTTAAAAAATTATCCTTCGAATCGATCTTCCAGCAAAATTGAATACACCGCGCCGAAACCACCTGAAATTCGCATCCCCCAATAAAAACACCCAGTCAAACTTTCTTCAGAAACAGAAAGCATGATTGCAGGTTTGACCGCCCCCCACCAATCCGGAAATGACCCGCAAACGAGGATTTCTACGATCCAAGACGTGAGCCTGGAGAAGAAGAAGAAGGTGAAAGGCCAGCCGCGCCTGCTCTGCTGCTGTTGATGGCCCTTTTTGCGATCAAAAGGGGAAACCGTGTCTTCTCTTCCTAGCTACCGTACAATTAGCCACATTTCGCCGGGTGGGAGGTTCGAATCGGCGCTTCCCGCGCTGGCTCCTTGAGAGTTTACGGGGACACAGCTGGAGCGCTCGATTTTGGATCAATTTGCCCCTCGGGGTGGGGGGATCAGAGAAGGGCAAGGAATTGGGTGTGAATACGAAAAAAAATAGATGTTTTATTTGTTGATGAGAAAACAGTGTAAAAACAACGAAGGTGACCTTCAAATCCATCTTTTCCCAGATTTTTTGGATGATGTTATTCATGTAATTACTACAGGGATAGGTTACGGCCATGAATTGTGGTTGTCAATAATGCCTGTGATCTTTTTCACGCAACGGACGTATCCATGTTGTCCTTGCGTTAGTCATTGCGCTTATCACTAGAGCCACGAAGTCCCGTGAGTTGCGGACCCTTACCGGTCCTTTTCAAGGGTTTCACAAGCCACCGTCATTCCGCGTTACGCAACGAGCTGACTGACCCACCAATTGCGCACGTAGCGTGCGTGCGTCGCGTGTCGCGGTCGCGGGAGGATTCACGGATTCCGACTCCGAAAGAAACTATAGTCAGACCTTGCATGTCTTTTTAAAAGAAGAACCATGGCAAGACGATGAAGGTTGTCGTCGTTTTCTACGCGGCCGCGACACGCAACCCGCCAGGGGGTCCCTGATTGGCGCGCGTAACGGGTTGCTGCCAGGTCCCAAAGCCCTGCTTATCATAGAACCGCAAAATATATTGCAAACATTCCATAATCGAGAAATCCATAGTCATGCTTTGATTTCTCCCATTAACACTATCGTCCCTTAAAAAGATACCCATATCTTAATGCTGGCATCAGGTTTACCATTTCTGCTTATTAACAGCTGCCCTTGGAATGCTCAACAGAGTGATCAAACACCCGCACACCTTTTTTTGCTGCTGTAATCACGCTAGGGCAGGTGTTTTTCAAAATTAAAACGAGGCAGGAGCGGCCCATTGTTGCTGCCAAACACAACACTCCTTGCAACAAGATGGCGACTGCCCCCACGCCAAATTTTAACATTAGCACCGATGTTCCGCCGGAGCTGATCACGTTTTGGAATGTTAATGCTGTTGTCGAAACCTTGGTGCTTGTTTTTGGGATTTACATGATTGTGAAGAAGTCGAGTCCGGGCATGGCGGAGTATAAGTGGTTTTTGTTGAATATTGCGGTGAGTTTTAAGGATTTTAGACGTATTTGGATTAGATAGTAATCCTTGTCGTAAGAAAATTTTGGTCACAAAGCTGTTGAACCCGAATAATTTTTCGTGGGATTTTTAGGTATCGATTTGGTGCCTCGATATTGCCGTTGGAGTATTTCTTCGCCCTATGGTACTCTTTCCATTAACCGGAGCTCTAACAGTCGGCTTAATGGCATATCTATCCGAAGACGGGCAATTTCACCATTTCCTTGTTTTCAACCTCTATGTCCTCAACAACTGCACGTTGGCATTGGTTAATGGGTTTTTATACAGGTACAATTTGGCTTGAAAATTTGCCTGAAACGCAAAAGTACGTAAAGGTTCTGCAATCGGAAGTTCTTACAATTTTTCGTTGCCAAAACATTAGCGTGGCGCCGGAAAACGGACAGGAAAAATGTACAAACGCGTAAAAACATGGCTCCTGCCTTTTCATGATTTTTAAAATATACAGATGCTAGAGAACTACCAAAAAAACCTCCAAATTTAGAGCAATAGCCCTGCGCCCGACCCTGTGGCTGAACACCGAGAAAAAGTACCTGTACGGTTTTTGCGCAGCTTTCCAAATATTCTGGAGTATCCCGGAATCGGTTCTATTTTATTTCTGCACAACCCCAAAGCCAATTATGGAGGCTTATTTGATAGAGGTGAGGTGAAGGCGGTTTTCCTAGCCACTCAGCTTTGTAATAAAATAGTTTTTCCTCTTCTCCGCAAACATTAAAACTTATATAACTTGGAGTCGTGTTAGTGGTTTTTTTCTAGCACTACCCCCAGTGGAGCTACATCACCCAGATCCACTCATGGGCTATTTGGAACACTGGGATGAGTCCGATATCAAAATGGCTATTGAGTACGATGGTTGGTACCTCGATTTCTGTCATGCCTGTCATCGATATCTGCCAAAAACCCATAGTCAAGTGTTAGGCAGGCCTTTTAAACATTTGAATTTGAAATCCTACCTCTAAAGCTTTGACTTTCAGGCGTTCGGTCTCGTCCTCTTCGTCGGGTTTGCGGTCGTCGCAATCTGGGCGATATTTGGAGCGTTGAAAGAAAATGCTGGATCTTTTAGCGAGCAGACCGTAAGTCCTTGACCGGCCCACATACTTTAATTGTAAATTCAGATAAAACTGCATCGGCAACTAACATTAGCCCTGATGGCACAAGCATCAATCCCATTTTTTCTCTACATATTACCGATGGGCGCCGCCATGGTTATGCTATTTTTGGGGTACAACAATGCACAAGGTATGAGATTCTTTCTTTCCAGCTCTCCCTCTCTCTCTTTCTCTCTCTCTCTCTCTCACTCCCACTAAATATCAACTGGTTCAGCAATCTGCAATTGGCTCGAAGTCATCTTCTGCTCGCATTCCAACTTCAACATCCTCCTCATGGTGTCACTGACATCTTGCTACCGTGAATGTGTCGTTAATTGGATTCTAACGGCAGCAGAGGTATATTTTAGATCCGGCTCAAAGCCCCGTGCCCTGTTTAGAAAATCACCGGGCGTAAACTTCGTGTCAGTGAAGTTGCCTCTGCCGAGCCAACGCAGTCGGAATATTGAACTATACTTTAGCCTTCATTTCATTAAAACTAAAAATAAACTCGATTATTTCTGCATGTTTTCCAACTTCAATACCACAAAAAAGAGGGCGGACAGGTGAGTTTCAACACAATCGAGGTTATTAATTTTTTTAATTAGCACCTGCGATTGTCCCGCCGATGTTTTGGTACGATCTATGGCTTATCGGGTGCTCATAGGAGCACTTTTTAGGCATGAATTATTTCACTGTATGTGATAGTTTATTTGTAAGGGGGTTGGTTAAAAATCTGCTACAGCACTTGGTTGAGCGAATATTTCCCGTACTGCTTTCGTGCGTAGCTCTTTGCCGGAGATTTGCTGAAACGTAGGGTTGGGAAGTGTCAGTAGAGAGAGAGAGAGAGAGAGAGAGAGAGAGAGAGAGAGAGAGAAACAGATGGCTGGAGAAAAAGCTTACCTCAGCCACGATCTGCATCCAATCCACAACACATTCTCGATAACGAGAAACGTGAGAGCCACCATTAACCATCTTGAACCTTGAAGAATGGAGGGAACAACCATAACCGACCAAAAGGTACGGTGAGAAAGACAGCGAGCGACAGAGAGAGCGAGATAGAGAGAGAGAGACAGCGCGAGAGAGAGCGTGAGAGAGACAAATGTTAGACTCAAGGAGAAAGGCGAATCGATTAGCTATGAAGAGTCGACCCTCATTACAAAGTTCAGGGTCTGGGTCACCTGTGTTCACGAATAGTCTCTGTAAAGGGCACGAACCTACCATTAAACCCAAAGTATGACCTGCCCGAGTTCTGAGGCTATCTTTCTTGCGGCTCAAAAACCGTGCTCCAAGCCTGACAACTACAACCAACCAACTGACAACCAATTCGTATTCGTGAGCTTTTTAAACCTTTTACAATAAAATATTTTACAATATATATTTAGCTATCATTATCAGCATTAAAAATCCGATATAGCACTCGGCTGAACCGAGATTTCCTGGACGGATTTGGTGCGCAACTCCTTGCCGGTGATTTTCTGGAACAGATTCCTCAGGTATTGGATCGAAAACAAATGTTAGATGTTAAGCTTACCTCCGCTACAATTAACACCCAATCTACAATACATTCTCGATAGCACGACGTCAGAGCAAGCATCAAAATTATGTTGAAGTTCGAATGAGAGCAAAATAGGATAAGAAGCCAGGTGCAGATGGCTAAATTGCTAATAGATATGTCAAAGAAAGAAGACAGATAAGATCGTTGGAAAAAACATTTATAATGAAGGGTTTTACTTATTTGGAACTCCACTTTTCATTTTTATGTTTCATAGCTTACCCTGGGCATTACTATATCCAGTAAACAGCATCACTAACGCGGCTCCCATCGGAAAAATATACATCATGAACGGGATCGATGCCTGCGCCATCAGGGCCATGGTTAGTTGTCGATGGAGCCTGATCTAAAATTTAAGAATATGCTTAACTTTGAAAGACTGCAACTTAGGGTATTTAAATTGGCTTTAACCAAGAACCAACAATACAGACTTACAGTCTGTTCACTAAACGACTCAGCATTCTCCTTCAACGCCGCAAAAATGCCATAGATAGCCAGGGCGGCAAATCCGACGAAGAGCGCCAAGAAAAACGCCTAAATTACTGAATTTAATGACCTAACCCCAGTTTTTCGGTCGTGCCCTGGTTATAGCTTTCTGGACGCACCGAAACCAGCTTTATTATTTTTGACCCTGGGTGCCCTATACTCTTTCTGCGTCGCGACACGTAACGCGCACCAGCACTAGGGTGCGTATCGCGAATAACCTACCATGGATAACAGCAACCATTTACAGTTTGGATTCATGTCCGGATTCCAGATCGCCCATGAATGTACTTTGGTGATGTAGAACCAATGGGGGTAGTTCTAAAATGCGACACTGAATTATTTATCGTTTTCGCAGATGTTTCTAGGGTATTTTTCCGTGTTTCCGGAAATTAAAGGGGCCCCGAAATCTGGTCCACGGCCCCCTGCTGTGAGGCCTGGCAAATGGCCAGATGCGGCCGCAAAGCGACCGCGCCGCACGATTTTTTTGCCTCTGTTTGGACGCGAAAACGCCTGAATTTAAAAATTCTGATACTATTTTTGGAATTCTCAACGAATTTTGATTATTCCAGGCTTTTAAATTATGAAGATTGGCCAGAGGATCACCGAGATCCAGAGATTGGGTGGCTTACAAGGCATTACGACATGTAATCGCCGCCCACTCAAAAAGTCGTTTTCGCCCCAAAAAGAATTCGGTTTTTCTCAAACATTTTACGTATCTTCGCAATCAAATCACGTTTTTGGCACTTTTCGGCAGTAACCCTTTCGTTTTTTGACCCGTAGGTTCAATCCCCGCACACACGAATTTTGACTTGTGAGCCCCTTTAAGAGATTCTAATAGCATTGAATACCTTTTTAATATACGCTTCCATGACCGGCACGGGCGTCACGCAAAAACACAATATAATCGATTCCGGAAGTGCCCATACTAACTGAAATAAAGCGCAAAACCAGTACATATTCTTCTTGTCCTGGTTCAGCCACAAGTGCGGTCGAAGCGCTATGCACCTGACGCAAAAGGTGTTAAATTCATGGAAAGTGTTACCTATATAAAAACCCATTAACTAACGCCAATGTAGTGTTGTTCAGAATATACAAATTGATAACGAGGTATATTGGGAATTGGCCATCTTCAGTCAGAGCTGCCATCAATCCGACAGACATCGCACCGGCCAGTGGGAACAGGGAGATTGGGCGCAGAAAAACGCCGACAGCAATGTCGAGGCTCCAGATGCAGAGCTTAAAGGGGCTCCGAACTGCCAAATCAAAGCCCTTTTGGGAGGGCTCTTTGATTTCTGAAAAATTGCCAGCGGGCGCTGCGGGACAAGAGCCCTCACTCTTTCGATTTTTGCGCGAAGTTGTTTTTGCCCGGTTTCTTTGTGAAAACACTATAATTTGCGCATTCTGAGCCCATTTTTGAAATCCTCACTCAATTTTAAATAGCTTTGGTGTTTTAATCATCAAATTTGGCCAATCGATTTTGAGGTAACAACAGGCAATTTCAAATTTTGCGAGCTTCCCGGCCCCGGGGCGTACGGAGGCCTCCGACGTACAGAGCTCCGATTTTCGGGCCGTCACTCAATTTTTGGCATTTCGTAGCCCCTTTAAAGCGATGGAAAAAAGCTCCATAGTTAATTTGGAACTATGGATTTTTTTAATACTAAAATATAAAAGCTAGGTTACCCGCTTATCTCGGTTATTTCTTATAACTAGGCGTATCGATAAAATATAACTTCCATTCTCCTTCAAAAACTCACCGCAATATTCAGCAAAAACCACTTATACTCCACCATATGCTTGCTCGACTTCCACAGAATCATGTAAATCCCGAAAATCAGCACCACCGTCTCCACGACAGCATTCACGTTCCAAAATTCAACAAGTCCGGGCGGTATCTCGGTGCTGATGTTGAACTCGGCGGAGATGTCGGATGACATCTTTGCGCACCGAGACCAACTTAAATGCGAAATAACCGGTCGATGTTAAAAGCGAGATAGATGGAGGAAAAAGGATCCAGTGATTAACTTATTGACCTGAAAAATCGATTCGCCTATTACAATGCCAGGGTCTCGGCCACCTGAATTCAGCAATTGTCTGCGCGGTGGCTTCCAACCTTCCATTAAGCTCCAAAACCACCTGCCCGGGTGTTGCTTTTTTCCGCCGAGCAACCGTCCTTGAAGTTTAGGGCTTTTGACCTTGCAACATGCGAAACCCAATTGGGTCAAAACACCCTGTAACCGTATCTTTATAGGAACAGACAAGTCACGCTTGGGAGCGTGTACCATTACAGTGCGTAAGGTATTTTGACGCCGTCGGAGCTGAAAAGCTGCGCGCGTCGCGTATCGCGGACGCGGTTTAACCTATAGAGCCCTGATAGACAGAAAAATTCCATAGACTTGCTTTCAACGCTCCTTTAAAATTAGATTTTTTGATGCAATTTCAGCGAAAATTCATTTTTTGGCGAATGCTAAGGCGTGCCTTTACCGTACCTTAAAATCCGCATTTGTGTGAATTTTCCGAAGTCACTATTTTTCCATCAGATCTACGTACTTTTTCATCTTCTTCAAAATCCAATATTTATTCAATCAATACAGATACAATCCCACCGACAGATATGCGAGTCAAAGAGAGTGGAATACGGCAAGATACAAAATTACCAAACCGAACAAATTACGGCAGCATTTTGGGGATACGCGGGGTGATCACAATGCCGGGCGGGAAATACATGAAAAATCGAAAAACGATGATAAAAAAATTAAATTTTGTTTTAGAAAAATGTGAGAACAGAACGGGGTAATGAAAGCACTCGGGAAAACATTTTGACGGGGTAGTGGAAGGGAAGGAAAATTTTGGCTAAAAAAGGGGAAGACCCGATTTTGGAAGAAGATTCTGGGAGATAACATCAGAAACGAATGGCTAATAAGTATATCATGAGAGTAACACCGAAATACTTAAGATCGGCTTCAATCAACTCAACCAATGCCTGATCAACTCGACGGGCAGCGGGAAGATGATCGTCGAGTTTTTCTCGGCTCTGAAAAATAGCGGAATTGGAGTGGAAATCGCTTCTCTGTCTCATCATGGTTATAGCTCGTTTTAAAGGCGGGAGCCAGGCAATAGCCTTTTCTAAATAGCCTATGGCATCCACCCGATATGCGCGACGCGACGCGGCACGCACCGCGCATGCCCTTGACGGTCGTAAAGAGGCATTAGCCGTAAAGTCATGGAATATAGCGCTACGTGTAGCGGACGCGTTGCGTGACACTCGTGCAAAAAATCTGTGCGAAAACCTGAACCTAAATTCCAAGCTAGCTAGCTAGTTCCAGCGCCTTGCTTTTGCCTTCAAGGTTCGGAAACGTCCCTTTAAGGTTTTCCAAAGTGTAACATCGTAATAACGTTCAGGATTTAATTCTATACTTCAGTGCGTAA